TGCGTTAAACGAAGTTCAACGATTGAAAATAGAAGGTACACTAAGGCCTGTTACTCCTGGATCGCCGGAAGTGCAAGAAAGTGGATCTTTAACAGTCTCTGCTATTACTTTGCCCCTTAGACGCGATCACTTACGCAATGTCAGCTCAAGTAAGCACTAATGAGTTGAATTTAAAAATAGCATTGAACATCAGAATATGAGGTTATGTATATGTTTCTTACTTTGATAAATATATTTCAGATACATGCCTCCATTTTGTTTGCTTGATGCGACATTTGGAGGAAATAGTTGCTACTCCAGTGGTTGTAGCAGAGCCTGGCGATTCGTGCCTTCGATTTCCATCAACGCTTAAAATAAACGATTTGTACAATGACTTTAAAATTACCGTCGAAATATATTCACTTCAAACGCAAGCTGAAATTTTGCCACACGAAATTAAGTACCATATAAATAATACTCACGGATGTGGTAATAATAATAATAATTGTAACAAAAAAGTAAGTTCCTGTACTCACATATGTATATAAGAAATTGTTAACAATTTTACGAGACATTTAAATATTTTACAGCTGGTAAATAAGACTCCAAAGAAATTTTTGAAACAGGAAAGTCGATTAATAATGCCGAGTGTACAAAGCCCTGCAGGACCATCTGCTGTGAGATCACCTGCTTTTCAATTGTCTGGCTACGTTATTTTTAGTCTTAAAGAAGTGCATCGGCAACAATTCACATTAAATAAGGTAAGTATAATAATGTGTCAAATAAGTGCATTTTAACAGAAGCCATTTTATTGGTAATTCATAGGTACCGCCGCAGTCGCCATTGGAGGGTCGATTACAGATGCACGTGTCATGCGAACTTTCATTGTCGGTCGAGTACAGAGGATTTCTTACAATGTTCGAAGATGTTTCTGGATTCGGCGCTTGGCATCGTAGATGGTGTTTGCTTAAAGGTTCTACGCTGTCATATTGGAAATATCCTGATGATGAACGGAAGAAGACACCCATTGGAAGTCTAGATTTACAAGGTGACTATGCAGCTATAAGCATCATTTTATAGTCACATAAAAAAAAAATAGATTATATTATTAGAAAATTTTTGCATGTACTATATTTTACTATATTTTTGTGTTTGTAGGTGTCTCTACAACGAATGTAGGATTAGTTTCGCGAGATATATGCGCGCGCCCTAATACGTTTTTGCTCGAAACAACAAGAGCTGCAGAACCTGGAGATTCCGAAAGTTTAATTATGGTTAGAAATGGGCACACGACGACAATTAGGCATCTTTTATCAGCAGATACAAAGGAAGACAGATTAGAATGGTGTGCGAAACTTAACAAAACGTTAAATTTAATTCATACTTGGGGCGGAACACAGGCACTGTCGTAACCGGACGTGTGACACGTAATAGCGTACTGAAGTACGCGTATACGCAATGGGTACTTGTGTATACTAAATAATACAACTAAATAATTTAATGTGGCTAATCTAATACGATAATGTATATTTTCAATATCATGAATTTTTGGAAAAAGATTTTTTCCAGTTACTGGTAATTTTCAAGAATATTAATTGCAAATACATACATTAATCGATCCGATAATGAATTCTAGTTGAGCAAAATACTTTTAATATAAAGTAATACGTATTATTAATTCCCTTACAGATTATACAAAATTATCTTTTTGTAACTAAAAACGCTTAAAAAATCAATTTAATCGTCTCCTTATTTCTTAGGTAAGGAGTAAAATTAGAATGAATTTCATTATGTTCTTCAAACATAAAAAATTAATTGTTGGTATTCAAGTATTCTTATATTTTCTTTCTAATTACTATAACCACGCGATTTAAAAGAATGTATGTATTTATTACAATGAATTATAATCAATTAATATAATCATTAAATTTCAGTATGATCTAAGATTTTTAGGAGCTACATATATCTTCGCGATAGTTCCGATTATGCATTTTTTAAATATGTATTATTATACTATAAGGTATTTGTATTGTAAATAGAAAAATAGTATAATTATGTAAAAATTATTACTAACAAAAATGTACGTAGATATACGTATATCTATACACAAGTATTTTTTATATTCGCTGTACAAGACAGTATTCGATTAAACGTATGAAATTTTACATGTATTCATACAACTTCATAGTTTCTACTTCTCGAAGCATAAATAAAAAATTAAAATTAACCTCGCACGTCCTCTGCTACTAATTAACAATGTAAGAGAAGAAATCATTTTGTTATACCTGTTACTCTAGAATTCTCCCTCAATTCAGCTCCGCATTCGTACACGAAGGTCTACGTTACGAATAAAACGTAAGATGTTTAGTTTGTGTATATATTTATTTGCACGATTGGTGTCTTATTATATAATACATACATATAGGTAGGTGTATAAAAAAAAAGTTACTCATTTTCACGCGAATTCCAAAGCGTGTAAACGAGCGCTTCGTCGTCGCCTCTCTAAGAGTCAGTGATTGGAATTTCTGACGCCTCTCGTTCAAAATGTTTCTCGATAGTTTCTCAGAATTGCATAGCATAAATCATTTTTACGCAGTGGCACGCGTTTCACAAATGAAATTCGTAACTCCAGCTAAAAGTAGTTACCACGCGGAACTTAGTTTCATGAAGTTCCGCCATTTTATTTTTAGGGGATTGTTCACCCGATCGAACAACTATTCTATTTCACACGTTCTCATTGTTAAGGTAACAATTACTAGTATTTCGTATTGAATCACAGATCGAATGTTTCGAACGAAAAAGAGAAGGAATATACGAAAACAAGGTGAACAACCGATCGTCTCGAGCCGATGATGGACACCTTTTAGGACGATCGCGTCTGTCAATTAGTGAATCGCGTGCCACATGATTCTGAGGTACAGAGTATTCTAATTGCACTTATATTCGTGTATGTCGATAGTCGAAGAATCCTAGGTAACGTTGGTAGCGCAGAACGTCTGTTCTTAGCTTATTTGGAAACAAGTTTGATGGTAGGGTGAAATCCATCCTTGTCAGCGGTGTAATCGACCCTTTGAACGATTATTTGTATTCGATATTATTACTTATCCTTATTCGTGTAATAATAAATGTAATTTTAAGCTGAAGTAATCCTTCATGTTTTACCTGTAGGTGTGGCCATCGGGCGACGTGAAGGAGAAACTTCCGGTAACGGAAAGGGCTTCGTCATCTGTACCCTCGTTCGTCAGTTCTCCAGTTTCTTCCCTCGTTTGACCGTCGCTTTGTTCATAACTGAAACGATAGCCACCCACTCCGATGTTGTTCGATTCCTCCTGTTTTACGATCGTTATATCATTTGGATTGCCTTGAGGTGCCGCGAGAGCTCCCACTATCGCTGCCACGAAGATGAGGATCTGCGCAAAAATAGAGTATCGTATCAAAGCATAAAGTATTAGTCGTTCTCAGGGTTCCTAATATATCTTTCACGTTTTAGATGTAACGCGGAGGCGAGCTCCAGTCGAGAAGCGGTAGGGATGACTTCGTCTCAACTCGATGGACGAAGAAGAGAGCGATACCACTGGAGTTAACTGGAACCACCTCGGTAATGTAATAATAACTACCGCGAAAATTTGTTCAAATGAAGACTCTATTCTGCGAAATTTCGGGGTTGAATCTTTTAATTAATAATTCTAATTATAGTTGCGAAATAGTTAATTGTCGGCCGACTAATCGAGACAACAGGTGTTTGTAACGAAAGCGACTTGGCGACTCGATGCTGACGCAAACGATACGCGGAACGACAAGTTAGGCGACCCGACGAATTCTAGCGATTAATCATCAGGTGCGTGTAAACGTCCACGCACGCACAAACATCACAGTCCTCTTCACTTTCACTGTTACGTAAATAATTTCGGTTGTCAGCGCCCCTGTAAATTCGAAAATCTTTGCCCTGGCGCTCCTTTCGCGATGCTTTTTTTTTTTTACATCACGACACACTTAAGAGAAGCTAAAAAATTTAATTTCTTTGATTAGGTTTCCACGCGGTAACCAGGACCCACCGTCTTCATTGCGAGGACTTCTTCGTGCGAACGATTACGATTCTTGTCCCTTCGTCCTTAAACGACGAACCGATACGTGATACCAAGGATGCACGGCGCATCTGCCTTTATATAGCGGGAAAATCGCGAGCGTTGCATCCCCACCTGGATTAGACGCCGCGGAGATTCGCGGATGGGTCTCCCCTAGCTTTACTATAGGATGCATCCGCGATGCAACGATGCGAGCCTACTCTCCTTCAAGAGTGTTTGCATTCGGTGATGTTTGTTCAACGCCTCCGATACTCCACCGTAGACTCCACTGCTGGACCTTTAGGCTCTCTTATTTTTGCCAGCTTCGAGGCAATTTTCACGATTTTTTTGTAGGCAAAGTAATTGGTAGAAATCATTGAAATTTGGTGCATTCATTTATACAGATATAAAGAAGATTCTGATAAATTTACAAGTGGCCTGGTCAAATTGTTTTAGAGTTACAGGAATATAACGTCCACCACGTCAGGCGGAGTGGACCTAGAATGTTAACGCGGCTGTGTTAGGTCTGGGTCATATCTGAGTCAATGAAAAATGATTTTGTTATATTCGTTATACATAGCGTGAACTTGGAATAAGATGTTAAGTCTTTAAGCGACACGTATATATAAACAAAAATTATTTTGTTACTCGAATTAAGAAGGTTCCCGTTTGTCTAGCTTTAATATTTTATTTAAAATTTGTCATCTGGTTGGCAATGCTATGGACTAACGTTGAGTAACTGAAAACAGGAATTTATAAAATTCAAAACGCATCAGTTGCTGACACTGTTCTCCCGTGCATCTTCAGCTTTATTTTCCTTCGAAATCGTGCGGCTGAAAGAGTTAATGAAATTTCTAGGGCATCGTCACCAGACTGGCGGATAACCTCGGTCGAAATGGCATTCGCTTGTTAGCCGTGCCATTCAGATATCACAATGAAACGTATCTTTCAGGTGGACTTCGCCGTAGGATCTTCGCCGGCAATGCCAAGGACCTTTCCACTGTACAGAGACGATTGTTCCTGTTCTCACAGCATGTGAGTCTAGTCACGTCAAGTTCATCTATGTTTAGATCGCAATAACGCATAGGTCTCGAGCAATTCTAATTGAAAATAAAACAGAGTACTAGCAACATTGAAATACTCTTGACAGGTCTCGACAAACTTTAGTTTAGATGTCTAGATTTTACAAGAATAATTCTCTTAATATAGTAAATTAAAAGTGACTTAATTCTTGAATAAAATAAGGTTTTGTACAGTTTTAAATTAATGACATGATTTATGGATTCCCTTATCTGTACGTAATCCTTATTTTAAAAAATTCTAGTATAACGTATTAACACATTAAGGACCGCACATCTAGAGACTGCGTATAGAAAACACGAGAAAACTCGTGAGCGGTCCTTAATGTGTTAAGTTCAAACCTGTTCTAATCTCCATCGAAGCCTACTCTAAAGCCTATTCTAATCTATAATTATGTCTTCTCATTGCAGTCAACTTTTCATCGCGTAAACTTCATGTCTCCCTTCCCAGTCAATGGGAAACGATCGCTTTAGATGCTAGCGATTACGTCAGCCAGATAATCGTCCCTCTCAAGGGAGAACCGATAGAAACCAAGTTGGTCACCTGTCGTACGTGCCGAATGTGAAAGCCCCAATCCGTGTAAACGTCGTATTCCTACCCCGGTCGTCGTTCGTCGTTCATCGTCGTCGTCGTCGTCGGGTCTCGTCGGAGCCTCGAGGCGACATGCACGCGGTCGAGCGTCCTTGGTAATTGTGACATTTGGTTCTCTTGGTGTTATGCGCGCCGAGAAGAGCCGAGGAAAGTTGGTGACGTAACTACCGGTGACCTTGCCATTTCAGAAGATGCGCCGCGAACGAAGAGGACGCCTGAAGACGCCTCCGGCTACCGCATCTCTAGGCGTCTCTTCTGATCACCTTCCCTTCCCTTCACTTCTTTTCCACCGTCCTGTGACCAAATTCTCTGTCCTGCTTCGGACACCTTGCGCGCGGGAGACCTGAACGCGTCTTTCGAGACCCGCACCGCTGTAATCGGAGACTCAGGATTATGCAAGGACCTGCGAGACCTAGGAGACCTGGATCCCTTCTGCGGAGTCGCAGCTTTGATTTGTGCAGATCTTGGTTCCTTTGTCTCGCTGGTATTTTAGAGGGACTAAGTAGTTCTAGACTGGTAAGGCTTGGAGTGTTCAATTGCATATAAAGAAATAAGTTTTTTAATTCTCCAGGTTCGAGGATTACCTATAAAGAAGTTCTAGCAGCAGTCGCCTGAGTTGATCCTAAGGACGTCCCCCATCTTCGAGAAATTCGTAAAAATTTCGTGAAAATTAAGTTGATGGCTCGCGTTAATGTCATCTAAGAGAGTTAATCGTTAGGCAGATTACGTTTGAAAGGGGTTCAACAGGTACTTCGCCTAATCGACGATCGGTGAAGAGTAATTGATCGCTTACACGGAAATGCGTTCCGAGCGTTTGACATTTAAACGGATCCTTTTGCAACGATTTCGCTCTCGCACGACACCTCATTATGCGTCAAAATCCCTTTAACGTTCCCGGCGTCCACGTGAAATGACATTAGCAGTCGTCGGATATGGAAACGTGGCCGGCAGCTTCTTAAGAGCCGCGAATTGTTAATCGTCTATGAATAAAGACGACGCGTCAATGCTGTTTTTATCCCGACGGCAATAAGGTCGGATAGATTTGTTTCCCTCCGTGGAAACATTTTCGAGCATCAATCATTCGCGATGACGAAGCGTACAAAATTTCTAGCCGACTACTTCGTCGAATCGGAGGGAGCTGCACAGTATTTTAATAATACTCTTCGAGGCACGCGATTTAAAAGATAAATGGAAACTCAAGCTGCACAGAATGCAATCTAGCTACCTGGGATTATCAATAGTCCTTTTTTGGGGCGAAGGCAAAATCCTTTAGCCATTTTTATTCTTGTCATCTCTTGTTATATGTGTATCACTTCCTGATACAAAAAATCAATTATGGTAATCTGATAAGCTAGCCTAAGCATGTACCTTTGTATTCGTTAATTATGGAAAAAAATCGGTTTTCGACCTGGGCGACCATCTTCGTATAGTCGTGCATTAATATTCCAGTTGAAAAAATATGCATTATGTAAACGTGCGAATTTAAATACTCTTACGTAAAGTCTTTCTTCGGGAAGAAAGACCTCACACAGGAATATTCAAATTTTTATGCGTGACTTTTTTGTGTGCATACAATGAATACGAACTAACCGGATTGCACGACCAAAACCAGTGTTAATTAATTGTGTCATCGTTTAATATTATTAAAAGATCATGAGTAAATAATAAGTACGATAATAGAATCATACGCATGTTCTATCAATAAGTCGAAGTCACTTCATACTTCGCAAAGAGGCGAAGATATTTATCAATATCTTCACATCTCGTTGAAGTAATGTTAACATCTTTATTCCTAATGCATATGCAAATAACTTTCACCGCAGTCGCGTCGATTCGTTCAATCAAAAATACTTCGAGGATCGTACAGTCTGACAGGTCGAAGTTGTGTCTATCCAGTTGTTTTATTCAATCGAGTGCCGGTTGCAAAAGGAGCAAACACGATGCGTAACCAGCGAGGATCGCTAAAATCAGAATGGCGCCACTGTTTACCGAAATTCATTTACGACAAACTTTCTCGCACTTCACCTTCACGGCACTGCGCAAAAAAGGACTCTTGTTTTGTACTTAGAATAGTATTGTATTGTTGTTTCGTTATTTTATTACCAGTACCATTAATTTACTAATTAAGGACGCTCTCGACCTACAACGCCTGATTGAAGGGTCTGACGTGCTTTTTTATCAACGGGATATCATATTATTTCGAAAGCGCGTTACTAATAAAAGTAAGAAAAGATTTCAAAGTAAATTAAAAGCCAAGTTAACCATCGACTCGTACAATTGAACACAAACGATAAGGAACTCGATTTCCATATACGTGATTTAATTACTAGTACAAATTATACCGAACACCGTGGAAGGAAACACGCAATAATAGATTCAACGAAACAAACAATTCCACGTGTTTAGTTCCGCGGCAAATTACACGAGAGAAACGTGGTTAATTGTAGAAGAAACGAATTCAAAGTTATGCGCGTATGTATATCTCCACACGCAAACGTTACGCGATCACACGTTTTCCTATCAGAGGCGTTTCATTAGCATCTTTTCAATTCGCAAGGTACACAGAAAGAGGTAGAAACGACGGCGATAATTGCACTGTTAATTTACGTAGGCGCGTACATTTGCAAAAAATCGTGCGCAAATGCAGAAATGTCAACGAGACTCGTTCGGTCCTCGAGGATCCCTCGCACCTGATCCACGGTGTCATTCGTACTATCAGCACCTGTCGACGATGGATTCTCGCGCCAGATGCGCTCTTAGATCGCGATAAGCTTCGTGTGACACATTGTAAGACCATAAACATGTGGCGAGACGTCGAAATTACACGTGTGTCTTCGTCCACTTTCTTTGAATCGCTTAATTTCGTCGAGTGTGCAACAAGAATGGGATCTTGGAGAGTATTGGAGGCATGCCGGTCTGATAAGGTAATCGTTCTTTATTTAAACTGGTAGGAACTATAATATTGTGAATTTTCTATATTTTAATATAATGATTAGATATTTTATTACTTATTCTTCTGAAAAGAAGAGTACATCTTTATATATTTATTTGATTTCTTCTTGGTTTGTTCGAAAACCCCGAAGACATTTTGACGCCTCGAGAGACCGTTCAAGCGTTATGATAATCGCGCCTACCGTTATCCAATCAATTATGCTTTAACGAGGCAGACGAAACAAAGAAGACCGCGAGGAATTATCCGCAGCCGTGGAAAAGGAAATGCATCCATCGCCGCGTATGCTACCGCACTTAATAACGTTGCCTGTCCTTTCTCTTCAAATGTTGCAATGGCCGATCTTTCTTTTCCGTTGATGCAATTCTCGTAAAATTCCTCGAGTGACTGTAAATTCTAACGAGAAGCCTCCAAAGAAGCTGACAGTAACGATCGCGCAGAGTGTGTAGAATGTGTGTAGCTACATTTATTTTTATGGTGAATTCCTCATAAGATATGGACGATATAAGGCTACCACTCGCTGAAGAAATACTTGAAGTTTGACAAACGATTTGTTTATAGGGACCATTTCGCAAGGTAGAGAAGTTTCCTCTTCGTGAGTCGTTAAAAGCCCACAGAGTCCTGGCACCTTGTTCAAGGGAATCAAGTTTCATCGAGGAAGGAACTCGAAGCAGAATCTTGTTTCGCTATATATAATACAGAGTGTGGAGAATGTATGTAGCTAAATATTTATTTTTATTGAGGGTTCTTCATAAGATAAGGACGATACAAGGCTTACCACTTGCTGAAGAAATACTTGAAGTTTGATAAACGATTTGTTTATAGGGTCCACTTCACGATGTAGAGAAGTTTCCTGTTCGTGAGTCGTGATATCTTGTTCAAGGGAATCAAGTTTCATCGAGGAAGGAACTCGAAGGAGGCTCTTGCTTCATTATATAGTCCGAAGTCGTGACATCTCGTTCAAATAGGATCGAGGAAGCAACTCAAGGCAGGATCCTGTTCCCCTGTAACATTTTCATCAGCGTGATCGATCCTAAATTTTGTCAGGTCGTTTTCACGAGACAACGCGACTCCCCTCCTCGGCGCTCGTCTCCCTTCAATCGCGCAACTTTGCAGCAAAGGTCGTACAGCGCATCTACGTACATGAGAGGTAACGAGGAGTCGTTCTGTCGCAATACCGAGACAACGCGAGTCACGATCGGTCAAGAGAGTTTCGAGCTCAAATGCCGCTCGCGGGCGAAATCGCATTTCCGCAACCAGACATTTCTTCTGACCGGGGTATCTGCCTCCCCCTCATCGGGGAAAGTCGGTCAGCAATTAAATTATTCGCAGAAATTGCATTAATTTTCTCACTATCGTTATCGAACCCGTAGAATTAGTTTAAAAATGCACAAAGCAGTTAATTACGCCTAAAAGATGCTTTTACAATTAGTTTCTGCGATTTAATGGACACAGAAAGTTCATCCTCGTCGAAGGCTTATTTACACTGCTCCGTGTAGATAATTATGTACGCGTCTTCGGGGTAAAATGATTACGGATTGCGCAACGCGTCTCGATATTTAAAATAATCAAATTATTCACGTATCAACGCGCATTGCGACACTGTTCCGTTGCGTGTTGCGTAATATATTCAATTAATGTTCGAAGATGTGACGCAACCCCAAATGAACGAGCCGTCATCATCCAACGTTTACGCGCTTTTCAAGCGTGACGCGAGGAAGGTATGACCTACAGTTAACATCCAAGAAAATGGTCGCGCAAACTGCCTAGGAATAGTCCTCGAATTACTCGAATAACTCGTACATTTTTTGAGGTATCACGAGGAACGTTGATTGGCTGCGTTTCATAGCGTTTTCTCGACGAATCGAGTGGATCAACAACTTCCAAGCAAGGGGTGGAGAAAAGGGAGGAGCGTCTAACGCATGTGTTTGATCGAGACGCCCATTATGTACTCTGCATGATATTCCCATGTGAATGGAGCGTCGTCACGTTCTAGAGAATGGCTGTTTTATTAATAAAGTTCACGAGTGGATCAGGTTCAAGTATATTTCTAAATGGTCCTCGAATGGGATAACTTTTCTACCAGGAAAACAAGCTCGACCGTCATCGACAGGGTCGCAGAGACCAGTTTATCGATGATATATGACGGAGCTTGTGATTAATATAGCGATAAATTAATGCAAAAGATATCACGTTGTCTTTAATAAACTTGTTCCGACCACTTAATGGGATTATCATATCGTAAATGTCATTGGTTCTGGGGTTTCCTTAAGCCAGGATCTGGCAGCTTTCAAATTGTCTGTAAAGTTCAGTTATCTGTAAGAAGGATTAATAAATAATCGTTTGAGGAGGGTAAACTTTCCGTATCCATTAAATTGAGGAAACTTCTGCCATTTTAATTAATTGCTTTGGATATTTTTAAACCGGAATGAAAGGGTGAAAATTAATACAGTTTCTGTGGAGTAAGACGACAAATTTGTCAACAAAGTATTTTAATTTTATTAATTATCATTTGTAATGTGATAATAAAAATTTCGTTTCTACTGTTTGGACTTTTGCAGAGTTTCATCGGTAGATCGTTCGAACTTTGCGCTCGACAGTCTCCTGGTACGTCTCACTGAGGTCTGCACATCCTGTTGGTATAATTATCTTATCGATTGGCGTCGTTCCCTCGTTGAGGAAATTCCTGATGAATTACGAGGATCAATCCGCGTCGATGCGTGTACATTCACAGGTGGTTCGACCTCGTCACCTTGCAGCAAAGCGGCTATTTTACCGTTGACACCCACGAAATAAATCAATCGACGCGGTCGTGTGCAGCGTGAAGAAGGATAATCGAAGGACTGCTAGTTGGCGGCAGGGAATCAACGATGGAACGCCGATTCAGAAAGTTCACGCGAGCTGTATGCTTTATCGTAACTGGCAACCAACACTTGCCATTGTGTATGATCGAAGGAGCGCGTAAATTAATAGAGGATGCATGTTTCAGGACGAGCTGGCGAGGATCTTCTGGGAGTTCTTCGAGAGGGTTGGATGAGGGCTATAAAACGTGGATCTTGCACACTGGACGTTGTCATGCAAGTTGTAATAAAATGGGGACCAATGAGCTTTCCATTTGTCAGTTTCATGTACATAGATCATTAGAAGCAGGAAGTAGCAGAAGTAGGAGTTAAAATGTAGGAAAGAAAGTATCCATTCTGGAGGACTCCACAGGAATTGGTAACATCTGTTGACATTTGAAATGTGCGGTGAAATTGCGCAATACAATAACTGGAAGGTCTAAAGAGAGAAAGCGTATTAAGGAGCCGGTTACAAAGCCGATGCGTTTGAGCGCTAATTGAATATCGGTGAAATTTCGCCAGTTGGAACTCCTTAGTGACTGCCATGCGACCAGGGGCGGATCTGCCATCAAATTAACGAAGCGTCGTCATCCCATAAATTCGTGGTGAAAACTGTGTCAATATTTCATAAAAGAACTAGAGAAATTTTATAGCGACGGTATAATGACTGTGTCGGAAAGGTGAGAAAATATTGTCTGCATTTAAACATATTTTTTACAGAGAATAAGGGATAAATATACCGACTTACCTTCATGCCTCGACGAGTGTAGATCCGTCACTGAATTCGATCCATATTACGTATTCACAGGTGGGAGTCCGTGATCATGGTTGTCCCCCCTCGCGGAAGTCATCGATAATTTATCCCGCACGCGAACGAAATAAATCGATCGACAGCGTCTGGTGCTGGCGAATGATTCATAACGTTGAACCGGGACGACAGTTTCGAGGTAAAAGGGCAGATTCTTATCATCGATGACGTATCGTTCTTGGTTCTCTTTTCGACTGAACACGGTCGAAACGTTCTCGTGAAAGCATGCTTCTCTTTATGATTCTTCTTATGATTGCTCCTCCCAACACGCGATACCAATTTGCTTATTGTCAATTTGGGAAAAATATAGGTATCGTCTGCTCGAGCAAAAGAAGAAATCAATACAATTATTTATCTGAAATGGTTTTATATAATAAAACACTCATTTAAATGAAGTGACTTTTTAGCGAAGGCGAACTAAGGAGTTGTTCCACGAATAAGTCAGACAGCGTATACACCACGAATTGGAAATGAAAATTGAATATCGTGACGAACGATAGACAACTGGTAGAAGGGCGGATATCAGTCGAGCACCACAAGGATTCGTGGTTAACGAGAGGTTGCTCATCCTCGAACACGATGGACTTCGCCGTAAAGCTCGATTCGTGACGAAATATCCGTGGGAACCGTCCAAGGAAACGTGGTTTGGTAGCCACAGTCCAGTATCTTGTTTTACAAGAGAGCTAACCCAACCTAGTTTTCAACCTAATCAAGATCCTATAAAAAGGTTCATACCACACAGCTTGTTTTCTCATTTACATCTATCTAGAATGACCTATAACCGATTTAACAACCTCAAAATCTATCTGCATGTACTATTCTACTCTTAAGGTGGCTGTTTCGAGATGGTCACGTTCAAAATCAAAATCTCAGTAACGCCGTGGTATGTTCTCTAAGAGTCTGTGTTAAAATTACAAAATCTTAATATCGTTTTCCATAAAATTGTGTTGGTGAATATAAATCAAAACAGGATCGTACGATCCATATTCAATCAAAAAACGATCAAGAGAAGTTTCGTTGAAATCCCCTATTAAATAAATCCACGGAACAACCACCTTAAGGAATTTATCGCTCACGAGGGTTCATGATATAATAGTTTCCTCTTCGCTGTATAAATCGGGATAGTCTCGATTTCTGACACCTCTGAAATATTCTCGTTCATCCCCCAGGATTTTACACTCTACGAGAGTCCCATGAAATTTATCGCTCACGATGATCCTTACGATACACAGCGAGATCCGCACGTACCAAAATATCGAGCACAGCTCTCGAAATTATTCGATTAAATCACGAAGCATTCCAACGATCCTTAGGGCCCAGCCAAGGTGCATCGATTCACCTGCGAACGATGATTCCACAGCTACCTATAAAATAGTAGATGCGAGCACAGCTGCAGCTGTATCGGTGGAGGTTCGTCTGCCGACAGTGTGATGGCATTTAACCGATCCGTGCCATCGTGCACGGAGGTTATATTACGCAAGAAGCGCCTTTAGCCAGCAACGACGACGACGACGACGGCGACGAGGACGACGACGACGTCGGGTTCGCGCGGTCCAGCTCGGATTCTTGCGAAATTCCTGGGTCGTGTGCGAGTTCCTCGTTGAAAAGCAGCCGTGTCCTATCGCGTGTTCGTTCGCCTCGTCTCTTGGGCACTTTGTCTCTTTCAATAGGACCGCGGATCACTCGTTAACCCGTCCGTATTAGGTTTAATTATCGCTGGCTCAATTAACCGTTGGATTCAATGAACAAGGGACTATCTTATCCGATGCTGCGAGCGAACAACTGTTACCTGGAAACCGATGAATCGCTCTGCCACGAGTTCGCGACTCCTCGAGAGAAATTTTCTAGGAATAGAGGGAACAATCGTGATTCGGGTCTCTGAAACCAGCGAATTACGTATGCAGATTGTGCTTTGTACGTTTGTTTTTGGTAGGACACAATTGTGGTCGAAACTTTTTGAATATTTACATTCTATACTTCGAGACAGGTGCTCTGAGTTGATAGGTGCTCAGGTTCTAGTTGTGACAGAGCTTTTTCTTGCTCTTTTAAATATATTGATTGTAAAAAGAGAGTTAGGGTTCTGTTTAAGATCGTTTACAAAACCAGGAACCAGGGAAGTGCAGAATTCTCAAATAATGAAGTTTTTCAGAGTATACTATATACGAAGTTTGTTAGGATATCCAAATGTGCGTGATAAATCAAAAGATATATGTTATTTAGGATTGGACTTTATAAAAAAGCGACTTTTTCCATTCAGGAAGCGATCTCAAAATGACGAGGTCGTTCGAATTCACATAAATTGTTTCTTAGTCTATAAAAACTTGCCCCGTCGAAGGCCATGCATAAAAATATCTTTTGCTATGATTCCCTTTATATCAGTGTTTAGCAACAAGTGGCCCATGAGTCGACCATCCCTCGGTGTCATAAGCGAGCCAATTATGAAATACAATCACAGAAAAATTATTAAGTAAAATCGAACAAGATTTGGCCAACATTAATTGTCCTGCATGTGTAAAATTAGACACATTAACACTTTATAGATGAGAAAGTAGACCATCACGTGAGATTACAGAAACCAAGATAGATGATCTTTGACACATAATTATTATTATAGACGGAATACTTTTAACCAGAGTGTTCCTTCCAATTCTCTCTGTTTCAACTGTAGGAATAGACTCCGACGTCTTCAGGGGAGTGAGTTATTCGGTTCAGCGAGTGTTGACATGAACGAAACTTTCATTCCACCAGGGACCATTTATCTCGCGACCAGGTAGACAGAACAGCAAGCAGGAAGACGACGCGTTTGGTCGTCATACCTCCATGCTGATACGCATCGCGACAATCAGCTCGTTAAAAATATTTACATAACCGACGCCTTACATCTGTTGCACGAACTGCGAGATAGGTTACGAAGATATCGCCGATGGATGCGAGGCAGCATCCCTGTGAGACTTAAACGAAATTATGTAGCTATCTTAAAAATAGGCAGTTAATAGCTTTCACAGTTTTGACGTGGAATTAACGACGACCCTGAGTTTTATGAGGGAAGTATTATAACGACTAGTGGGGTCCATTTGAACCTTTGGCTTTGTTAATAACAGAATAGCTGTTGTAAAAAAACTCGTGTATGATTCATAAACGACCATTGCATCACCGTAGAGCGATGATTTAGCGCGGAATTTGGGTTGGAGGTGTCATTGGCCTGTATTCCTTTGAAGATGGCAATGAGAAAGATCGTTATCCCACGGAATACACGAGTTTGGTCTGGAAATATGCGACATGATACGATACAACGTCTGAGAGACGTGTTTCCAAGACGTCTGGTCTCCGAAAGTGGCGACATTGATTGGCCGCCCAGTTTGCCAAAGCTGACAGCTCCCAGACTCTTCTCTTTTGAGTTTAAAGAACAGGTCTCAGAGTAATAAATCAACAATTCAACAACATAAAGAATCACCTGGTCCACATTGTTCCCCAAAGTTTAATTTCTAAGCTTCGAGTAGTATTATTCAGATTTAAAATAAGGTTAAATAAATATAAAGTCCTTTAGAAACCTTTAATAATTTTTATATTCACAAGTCAATGCGCTGTAAATTCCAAAATGAAAAGTTTCAAATCGATAGCGCAACCAGTTTTCGTGGAATTAAATCGCGAATAACGCGAGCGACGCTTGAGTGAGTTCAATGCGTACGCCGCTTGGGTGATTTCAATGCGTGGTAAGCGCCATCGTCTGAGATGGAATGGACGCTAAATGGAAACTCCACATTTCGGTTATCTACGTAGTCGAGGATTCTACTACTAAATGGTAAAGGAAACTTTCTCGAATTTTAATTTGCATATTCCGATTTTGATTCTAATTTATTATCTTTCTTAGGCAATGCTTCTCTCCAATGTGTCACCCAAAGCAGGATAACTTTCATCGTTGAAACAGAAATTCGTGTTCTAGCAGAGTGAAAAATATTGTTCAAAATGGATGGAGGACCATACGTTCGCATAACTTTATCGCTACGTCGTCTAGGTGCTTAACGTCTTGGAAATTCTAACGTATTATATACTATGCGTGCTTTGGGCATAAATCGTCCAACACTCGGAACTTATTTCTACCTAAGAGGAAAGGAAATTAACATGAAACATTGTTTCTTGTTATATTCTATTGTCTTTGTTTTAAATAGTATTATTCAACTCGATAAATTTATAATTAAATATAATATTTCCAGATACCAAAAATACCTCAAAAGGGATTGAAATAGTTTAAATAAATTAGTATTTTATACAACTAATTTCAAAGCATTCCTCTAATCAATGAAGTATTTGGTTCAAGAAAGTGATGATTGTCTATTTGAAAAAGACATTAAGCACTATTTCTTGATGGTATACGTATAAGGAAATCTTGTACGTAAATGGTTCATTGGCCCCTCGAGTATTTTATTAGGCAAGCGCATTCTGCTGTTACACTGAATCCGTTATTGATCGGAACTTTTTGCCCTCCAATCGAGAGGATCCTCCTCCGCTTCGTGCACAATCGATTATACAATAACGTCGCGCCTCACGACGAGCCGAGCAAAAAGGAAAAAGTCACGACCCGATGCACGAGCCTATACGAACTCGAACCGATTATCTAATGTCGTGGCATCTATATTTACAATGAGCAGAGAACACGAGGAAACCACTCAACGAAACCTGATCAACGGAAATTTCGCTGAAAGTATGCACGAACGAAATCGATGAGGACCGAAAGAGATAGAGTCTTCATTATACAAACCTGTATAGACAATTCTTGTTAAGTATACATTTCTGGAACACAATATTTTAAATAACGAGAAATAGCGTCACTTGGTTGAACGATTCAATGTATACAGTTTATTCACGTACATATTTATAATCAAACGTTTAGCTTCATATATTAAATTCATTTAGTTAAATATCGACAGGGAACGAAAATTAAAACACGCTAAAAGGAATCCAAACAAGGAACTCTTTTTGTTGTGCACGTTGCATAATACAAAGTTGTCGAAGAGTATTTATTCACCTGTTTTCGCAGCTCGAACAAGTAAACGAAGAAGCTGCGCCCACGAAGGATGCGAAGATAATCGAGAACGTCAAACACGCCGACGTAACTATGCGGCAACAAGTCTTGGAGCACAAAACGAGCCTGCGTACCTTCGATTACGTCTTCGTTCCACAGCTTTCGATCAATTACAAGGATATAAAAAGTAGAAAAAAAATTCAAGCGCGCGCGCGTGACACAGACAACATAGATCTTCTCGGATCGCGGAGGACTCATCTTCTTCTCCTACCACCGCCGACTCGTTCCTCTCCGCCACGCTTCGAGCATTAGCATAAGCGATCGTCTTACGTAACACCGACCACTTTCTTTTTCAAAGCTCCCGCGTGTATTATCTTTCACCGTGCTCGCGTTAAAGTCGAACGGTTAGACAATGGGGAACGCGTTTTAACTTCTCCACGCGGAAGAACGTATAGACAAGGTCGCGTCGACGCGATGTATACTACCCGTTCTTCTTTATTTTTAACCTTTACGGCTTTGAATATATTTGCAAGATTTAAACGCATTGATTCCGTGAAGCGCGATGTTTTGATGATCGTGCAAATTCTAGCGCGAGGGATACGTGCCGCTGGAGCAATTAAAGTGTCGCCATTGCGCCATGGTGTCGACTTTGGAACGAAACTCGGACGTTGAATTGTTAATAATAACGTATGCCGAGTACCGAGAGTCTTAGAAGTGCGTTGAAACGTAAAAATAAATTATTGCTGGGTTTATCGTGGCCTCGAGCTAATTACAGTGGGTGTCTATTATTTTTGTTTAAGACTGTTTTGCTATAACAAGCAGGACCTGAAGAGGTGTAGGTCGTCGAAGAGTATTATTTAACGGTCAACGTTTTTCAAAATAAAGATTGGTCGATTGTGTCGGACTACTTGATGGAAAATAATGACACGAATTACAATCAATTTTCATGGGATACGGTGCCAATTACGTCTTACGTTGACGCGATTTCGATAGACTGAATCGACACGCCAAGGTTGCCATTTACATTGGCATTTACTTGACATTCTAAAAAGTAATTTGTCGAAAGAAATGACAGTAATCGCTTACTTTTGGATTTTTTTATCTCTGCAATAAAGTAGAATCCTTATGTCTATTAAATCGACGACTGAACATTTGGAAATAAATAGACGATACCTTGACG